TCCAATTAACCACTCAGACTCATGCTTCCACAAACACACTGCACATTTGTTTCTATTAACAAAAAGCACTCGCACAAACATCTATCGTCGTGGACACAATCACTTTCAGAGTGGTGTCACGGGACGCAGGGGGCAATGGAGTTCTTTCAGGTCTATGGTGCGAAAAATAGGTCAAAATTGCTCAAATTAATGCTTAATTTTGTGCTTAATTGGAGCACATTCTGTCTGACTTAAAACAAGATTTGCCAATGGCACAAAGAAAAATGATCTTGTTTTTAAAAGATACAAGAAATGTCTCTTCTTGAAATAAGACTAAATGGCTTGTTGTCTAAATTGTCCTATTGGCAAAATTCTTGTTTTCAGACAGTCAGAAAATGAAAGCAACTCGATTCAAGCAATTTTTACCGCAAATGTGAGCATTTTTTGCAGTGTAAGTCTCAGCAGGGGGGAGGGCAAAAGTCAGGGTTTTATACAAGTCCTTGTGCCCTGGAAGAAATGAGTTCCAATCCCCCGTTCAAGAAGCTAATGAGAAGCACATATGACAGGATCTGGGGGTCCGGGAGTGACAGTGATGAAGAGCAGCAGTAAATATGTCCGCTTCCATGACCTCACATGTCCCATCGTGAAGATCCGGGATCAAGATTTTGGTCTCGTAAAACTGAAATTTTGATTATCAAAAGGTCACAATTAGAAAATTTGATTAAATAGATTCAACTTTATTGTCATTACACTTTCAGAACAATGTAACAAAATGTAGTTTAGCATCTAATCAGAAGTGCAATAGCACAGATGTGTGTATTGCATACAATAATGCCCAGCCCACATGTGATTATAAGGCACCATTAACACTGTATCAGGCACTAAACATATCCAAACACAAATGCTCTCATTTGAATAAATGAATCTGCCGCTTCTTCCAGGCTTTACACAAAAATGAAGACAATTTAAACACTTGACTTTCAAATAAAAATGTAATCTTGACGTCGTCACTGCCCTAGAACAGATTAATATCCTCGTTGAACGTTTCATAAAACACATTATATATATATATATATATATATATATATATATATATATATGTCCTCAGTGTTCTGTGAAAACCTCCCAGTTTTTAAAGCTAATGGAAGAATACCAGTACGTAACTGTGCCATCAAAGATGTCGGATTCCTCGACAGGTTTTCTGTGACTCTCTTTTGAAATGATCTTTGAACTGAATACATAAGATTGTTCTTTTCCACTGTTCTTCAAAATCATCCATTAATTTGCTCTAATGCTGTTAGATTGTTATGAAAAACAAATTGAAGTTGTGCTTCAGCCAAAACAGATCGAAGCTCTGCGGCTTTTCTACACTTAAGGAACTTTTTTGTTTTTCTGTTGTCTTGAATATTAATTAATTAATAATTAATTTTCTTTGGATTGTGCCAGAAACCCATATCTCTCTGACATCACCGTCAGTGTTCGCCGAATGCAGAAGAAGTTGATTTGAATGAAACCAACTCTAGCTGGAGCTAATTTTCTTAAATGTGCAATTGTTCCGACAGAGTTAGCTTTGTCCCATAATCGAGGCGCACATCGCTAAAATAGTTACTAAGGCAAACTGGAGGATCCCCCGTGAATTAATCCGTATCTGGATTTACAAAGTCAATATCGCAATATAAACACCAGGATCGTTTGTTTAAATGTGCAGTAAGCGATTTTGTTAGCTTAGCCGTAGCACCAACTGGAAACCACTCCCCCCTCCCCTCGCCTCTCCACCAGACCAGACATCCAGCATTTTCTTTTCTTTGTCACAACAGGGAGAGTGGGGGGCAAACGTGATAATGCGGCAAACTTGATAATTTTAGTGTTTATGGACATTTCCTCACAAAATTGAAAGAAAATACGACAAAATCCCTGACTGCATCTTTAAGTCCAAATGTTGAGTGACAGTTACTGAGCTAGAGGAGTGTACTTTTCAATGTGCGTCAATAGGAGCAAGCGGGAGTTGGAACAAAGCTTCGTCCATGAGCACTTCCCTATTAGGCTTCATTGAGCTTGCACGTTTGCATTGTCCATGTGTATACAATCTATGTGCACAACTCAGGTCTGAAGAATTGTGTGTAAAAAATATAAATAAAAATAAAAACTAATTTCATAGCGTTTGCCTTTGAATATTCTATTTCTACTGTTGGGAAATCGCTTCCTTTGTATGCCTTTTCATATTTTAAAGTTGTGAATTTAAGATACAAAAATCAGGCTTTTTAAACAGGCAGGATATTGAAAATCGTAATGTTTGTAAGAAATATTGCGATTCAAGATTTGGCCAAACTTGCCAACCATATTTTTATCGTAGATTTTATGCAGATCTACAAGTAGCAAGCTCCAAACCAGACAATAAACAAGCAAATCCAAGAACACATCTGTACATGTTCCCTCAAGCAACAAAAACATGAATCATTCTATAGCTATCCCAGTTTGAAGTTTCTGCACACGAAACTAGATTGCTTAATACAACCTATTTTTAACAAAAGTTGAATTCTCACATTTCCCTCTTGCCCTGGATTGCCCTTCAGAGACAGAAAGACGGATTGTTCTGTTACGTAATGCAGTATTTCCTCTTTTTCACTCCCTCAAAGGCTACTCTGCATTTTCTCTATTTTTTAATTTTACTCTCTGAATGATTTATTATTGAGGTTTGAGTTGAGAGTTTGAGCACAGAGAACGGTGGAATCTGCCATGTTTAGTTCTTGACTGATTGTAACACTGTTTAATATATATATGAGAAGATATGTACTTTATGCACAGAATATTAACACGTAACATATGGAATTTATTATGCAACACATGAGTGACAAGGAGTGAACAAGCGTTTACAGTAACACAGATTAGTGTGTGTATTGTTAGTCATCAGGTTATGCAACGATCTGTAGCTCTGGGCTTAGACACAAAGCTCTGAGGAAAACGTTTAATTTTGTCTTCATTCTTACATCTTACAAAAAATGAGATGTGGCATGTAACTACATATAGAAGTTGTATTTTGTTTCATATTCCCTATTAATAAAGGATCTCTTAAGCTTATTCTTAATATTCATTGGAACGGCAACTTCTCGAGAGGAAATATCTCATTTTCCAGATAATGACATCTCATTGTTGGTTCTTGAGTTCTTTCATTTACACGGGTGATCCTTAATATGCTGAGTTCTGAATGCTTTGTAATATTAATGTTTGTCTCGATGGAGAGAACTTGTGTGACTTGAGTTTACCATAATGTGAATGATGGGTACATGGGCAGTGGGCTAGTGTGGGGGGTGGGATAATTGAGTTATTTCAACAATGCTTGAACCATGAGGCTGCTTTAGTGCAAGACATTCAGGTAGTTTTTGGTATTTCTATAAACGCTCTCAGCTTTCTCAAGTCAAATTCAAAAAGTAGCTAGCTAGTAGGGCTGGGAGATATATAGAAAAAAAAGTCAAATCTCAATTATATTTCCTGCTTTTGACGATTTTAATCGTTTTTCATTAAAGTCACCAAAGACAGACTTTGCCCGTAACAATATTTTTGGATCTTTCCGCTCAATATTCAAGTTTCAAAACTATTTTTAATTTGTTTTCCCCAATACGTATTATAAAAGTCTTGTACAGACTGTGCTGATATTGCAAGTATAATTCATGTGCTGCTGGAACTCTCACAATATCCCTCATTTGATTTCACGTTTTTAACATTTTTTTTACAAATTCGATTTTTTCAAAAGACGATTAATTGCCTAAATTTGATTTATTGCCCAGCCCTACTAGCTAGATAGATAGACGAATAGATGAATAGATAGATACATACATAGACAGAGATAAACAAGCAGACAGACATGCACTGTACAATTAAAGTTACAGTCATATGTTATATCTGCTGAGTCACTGTAAAGAATCACAGCTTAAAAATATGTTTGGTTCACAGCCCTTTGGCACTCACTGATTATTTTATTGTTCATGTGTTTCTTCTTTGGGCTTCTTTTATTTATTGATGAACGTGTACCGATTGATGTGGTTTTTGCTGCTGGACAACTGCATTTCTCCTTTAGGGATCTATCTTGAGTCGTAAATGTGTTTCAGATATGAACTTGACAGTGCCCTAACAGTGCATAGAAATGGGAAATTCCAATTCCAATGCTTCTTTCCTGCATCCTGAGCTCTGACCAAAGTGATCCTTGTATTCTACCATAACCACATACATCCTCAGACCATATTGGCTACGTTTAAAGTGAATGTAAAGAACACAGACTGTAAATATTGACGGACTTGGTCACGCCTATCTCCACCGTTGAAACTAATGTGCCACCTCTTTGGCCTTCTGTGGGCTTTTTCAAAATGGCAGAGGGTCTGGAAAATGTTAAAAGCACATTTGCCCCAATCATTTGACGATTGCCTTCAAAAGTCCACAGCGGCGACACTAGACTACTCCCCACAGCATTGACACGAATCTCGAATGTAGCATTGGGCCAAGAAGTTTTTGAGAGCAAAAAAGAAGCCATAGAAAAGCATTGGATAATTCTCTTTCTGGGTCCACCCCCACTGGCCCAGAGTGATATTGCAAGCATGTCAGCGCACATGCTCATGGACCTTATTGAGCCGGTACCCGCCCCCACTGGTAAAGACAAGCACTGGTTAGACCCGCCCATTCTGACCTCTGCCGCCTGATTGGTTCAAATAGAATTCAAATCCTTGTGGCCCCTCGTCATTGGTTTAACTATACTCCCCCGGCCAATCTTACAGGTAGTATAGTTGTGTCAAGGAGAGAGACTACTTTGAATATATTATTGTTGAGAAATACTTAATTTGTTTAACAGTTCAGTGTCCCAGTGTCACTCAAAATAAATTGGTCCCAAAAAAAAACGTAGACAGACAGATGAATGACATGCAATTGAAAATACCTGTAAGTGCAACTCTGGAGGTCTCTATAATATATATATATTTTTTCATTTTTATTTAACTGTCGGCACCAAAATAATTTCTTCCGTCTCTTTGCAGGTGAATCAACCTTTCAGGATGACCACAAATTCCTCGCCCCTAGAGTAAGTCTTTCCCTCTCTTCTCTATCACTTTCCATTTTGCCTTACGTGCCCTACTTTTGGCCCATATCCTGGTCTCTCCTTTTGCATTAACCTGGAGGCTTGAGCCCGTGCTGCCCGGTCGGGATAAGGCTTTGGTCTGTGCAAGGGCCGTTTACGTGCAAACCCACTCAACATACCAACTAGATGTGGCTGAACCCTGCAGTAATGCTCTCAAAACTCACACTAGGGCCTTGTATTCAGACAGCTGCGAATCCATCTCTCCCCTTTTCAGCCCGGCCTGCTCCAGCCACAGACAACTGCAAGATCTTAAACCACTCATCGCCCCCATTTTCAACTTATTTCATAATCTGTCAGATGTTGTGAGTGTTGCACGCGAACCTGAAACCACATTGTTTATAATAAGAAGCTGTCGGTGGTTCATGAGTTGTGCACGAAGCCACAACACAGACGGCCACAGAGCTGCGATGTTTTCGTAAGACAGTTTGCTTAACGGGCAGCGGTGGCGGATCGCAAATGGAGCTGATAAAAAGAGGAGTGATTTACTGATGTTCAAATGGTGGTAACGGCTGGACAAGTACACAGTAGGCTTTAAAGCTGGGGAACCTCACTTTTTTGTCATAGATGATACATTTTGTCAACAGAAAGCCATTTTGATATCAGGCCATCAGCCATATCTCTCATTAGAAACCATTTAGACTCAACCCTGTGAGTCTATTTGATACTTTGGGATGATTGGCTGAGTGAGGGTTGTATCTATCTTTAACTTTTCCTTCTAAAATAGCTGATCTAAAGATGTGACAGAGGACAAAACATACATGCATGTGAAATCTAGTGATCGAACCAAACTGTTTTAGAGCAAGGAACTACTAAGAATAAATACTCTGAATCTTTTTTTGAGCTCATAAAGTGAGTTACCCCATCTCCAAATGTTGTCATATTTGAATATAAAACGTAATAGTTCTGTTCTTTGGGGTACATACATGGATCTATTATAATAACTGGATAGGATTTTACTAGCTTGGAGCTGAAGAACTCATGTGCTCGGGGGATTCTCGCGGTACTGCAGACTGAACAAGACTAAATTCATATGGGCTACCCAGAAATTTTCCCCATAGAACTCAATGTAAATTAAAACAGCTCGACCTCAGCTGACGGAGAACCTACAGTACAGCTTTCAGAAATATTGGATTTTGAGGGGATTTTAGTGTCCCTTGTCATCCTGAACTTTTTTTCGTATTAAATCCTTCGGTTTTCTTTAAATCCACACTTTACTGACACAAACTCTGCCCGTCTGGCTCTCGCTCTAACTCCTGCTCTGATCAGCAGCTCTGATTGGTCAGAGCGCAGCCGAGCCCCTCTGTGCGCGTGCATGACAGCCACACAAGTGTATTTTGTGCAACGCATCATGGGAGTTCATCCACTGCGCAGAACCGGGAGGACCGGACGATGCCCAAATACAGGCGAGTTTCCCATGGATCTCTGCGAGTTCCAGGCGGAGTTCCGCTAATCTTTCAGCCCCCATGCCGGCACAAACTAGCCTGGCCCTGCCAGACCCTTGTAGTTCCGCCATGCTCCACCAGAGGTGTTTGGCTGAACCACATGGGTCTGGTATCGAGCCCATAGCGAACGCCTTCCCCAGATTATTTTTTAATCGACCAATCAGGATTGCCGGTGCTACGTGGGTTCTGCACTGCCTTCTCAAGCTTCTCTCAAGCAAGCCCCGGCGATCCAAGATGGCGCCCTATTCAAATGAATGGTTGTGCTCAGTGGCGCTTTGTGACGGCATGGGGGCTGAAAGATTAGCAGAAGTTGCCTGAAACTCGCAAAGATCTATGGGAAACTCGCCTGTATTTGGGCATCGTCTGGTCCTCCCGGTTCTGCGCAGTGGATGATCTCCCATAATGCGTTGCGTCAAACACGCGTGTGTGGGTCTCACACCGGGTCTCACGCACGTGCACAGAGGGGCTCGGCCGCGCTCTGACCAATCAGAGCAGTTCATCAGAGCGGGAGTTAGAGCGAGAGCCAGACGAGCAGAGTTTGTGGCACTAAAGTGTGGATTTAAACAAAACCGAAGGATTTAAGAAGAAAAAAAGTTCAGGATGACAAGGGACACTAAAATCCCCACAAAATCCGATCTTTATTAAAGCTGTAGGTTCTCTGTCAGCTGAGGTTGAGCTGTTTTAATATGCATTGAGTTCTATGGGGAAAATTTCTGGGTAGCCCACGTGAATTTAGTCTGGTTCAGTCTGCAGTACCGCGAGAATCCCCTGAGCACATGAGTTATTCAGCTACAAGCTAGTAATACCCTATCCAGTTAATATAATACATCCATGCTCTCAAGCAGCAGCGAGAGGAATCCAAGATGGCGGACGTAAAGTCCGCGAATCTTTTTAAAAGAGTAAATACGATCGAATTAAGACACGGAGGTCACTTTTACTGCAATTTGAGGCGAGATGTAGATGGTTCTATGTTGATATATGTGTGTTTTAAGAGTCAAATGTTCCTGTAAAGTTTGGTTGAAGCACTGGTTCAGTGTTCCTGTTTACACACTATGCAGCAGGGTTGCCAGGTTTGGTGGTTCCCGCATATTTTTTTCCAAGAGACTTGTAGGTATTAAATAAACAGAAAGACAATAAACACAATCATGATAGCCCAAGTTGATTATATTACGTTTTTAGCCAAAAAAATCATTGAGTGTTTTTTTTTTTTTGTGGGTTTTCTCGCGGATTTTGGGTTGGAAAATATTGCTGGGATTTGGCAACCTATAGGAGCCGTGTGCTTCGATGTGAGTGGTTGAAAGCAGACTTCATTCAAGATAACGGACAAGTGGTCTATCCAATCACATACAAGGATTTTTTTTACAAGGCCCTGCCTTCTGAAATCCAACCACTATGGCTCAGTACCAGACTCATGTGTGAAGTGCAGCGAACTACATGGGTCTGGCGAGAGTCAGGCTAGGCACAAACCGCCACTGAGCACAAACCATTCATTTGAATACAGCGCCATCTTGGATTGCTAAATCTTGTTATTGTTTTCATTTTGATGTCCCGCCCTCCATCGTTTTACCAATCAGAAAGTCCGTGATCCGGGTTGCCAGAACTCACCACGTCGAGCTAATCTCACTAAAGTACCATGTGGCAGCAGAACTAAAAAAATGGTACGTTATTATTCTCAAATCATTCATGACAAAGCAAGGGATAAAACCAGGATTTCTATCTTTGTGAAAAAGGTGTTGGTTATAGATTTGTTGTTGACAAAACTCTTTATTCAGATATTATGATCCCAGCTGGATTCGTCTGCATAGCTGGCAACCTGAGTTAGGGAGAGTTCAGAACCACTTTTGGCCAGATTGTGACCTACTGTTCCTTTAAGAAACAAAATAACTATATATAAAGCTTGCCTTCCAGATATGACTCAACTACCGGTAACTATGACAAAGCCTTCTCTACAGCCTGAATGTGCAAACCCACTTTAAACCTGAGTTGGTAAGATGTATGATGACTAAAGAAGTTCTCGGTTGAATACAGACATGCCCTGCTGTGGTCAGCTAAAACTAGAGTGTGGTAAATGCTCTCAACAATATTTTTCATCTCTGTGTGGCGGACAACACAGTGTTTGCTGGCGTTCATGTAAACACGGTCACTGATAGGAAAGAAAATGTATTGTTTATGTATTTGAACTCCCAAACTAAAGCCTTTCACCTCCTCGCCATAAACACCTCATCCAAAAACTTAGGGGACTCCCATAGTCTGGGGCCGATCCGAATGAGGGGTTCAAACTTAAAAACATAACTTTGTAACATCGCTAACTCATAAGTGCTCTATAGACCCGCCCTATCAGGAATCAAGGTCACTGTTTTTGCTTAAAACGTAAGTTAATATCTCATTAGTATAGTGTTATTTAATATATATTATATCTGATAGTTGTTTGAAAACATGTTGTGCATTATTGATTGATTGATTTTCAGAATTATTCCAAAACAAAGATATGAGGACATCCAAAGTATAAAACATATTTGTATTTTCAAAATTGACATAAATAATATAATAAAATATAGACAAAATATTCAGCATATATTGTTCTAACAAAATGTCCCATAGTTGTAAAAAATAAATAAAAATAAGATGGCGTCATTACACAAGATAACATAATTCTAAATTGAATTGAGGAAGCCAATCAAAGCTGTTAAAACGAGCCCGTCTATGTTCTCTGGCTTCATCCACCCTCTGTTTAAGGGTGTCTGGCACTTGCTGCACAGCTTTGAGCTTTACTCAGGGGCAGTTGGGGAAACCACACATGTCAGTAATTACACCAGTGCTGCTTAGAGTGAGTGATCCGTGCCTCCTGTCATCTCATCTGCAGACAGCACTAAATACAGTCTGCTCCTCTCTCATTACGAGGCTGCAGTGAAAGTGACTCAAGCTCGAGCCGCGTCTCTGTTTTCACAACTGCACATGGCACAAGTCGCAGCTGATTAATAAGTGAAGGGTCTGCAGTGCACGCTTTGAAGGGAATTTGGAAGTGTAGACTATCATTAGATAAGGCAAGTTTTTTTTTGTATCGCACAGTTCATACACAACTTGACAAAATGTATTTATTTATGTATTTATTTATTTGTTTGGAGGATAAACCCCTAGAGATGAAACATCACACAATGAATTAAAATCATCACTAATCACAGTACGTTAAAGATAGTGAAGATAAAATCCTTCAGTTGTGTGCGCAGCTAAACAGAACTGTTTTTAAAGGAGCAATATGTAAAAAATCTGGCAAAAAGTGATACTGCAGCCTCTTCCACTCTCCCTGACTTAGGTTGCCAGATATGCAGACGAATCCAGCTGGGACCATAATATCTGAATATCTAAATAATCTATAACCAACACCTTTTTCACAAAGATAGAAATCCTGATTTCATTCCTTGTTTTGTCATTGATGATTTGAGAATCATAATGAGACCTTTTATAGTTCTGCGGCCACATGTCACTTTACCAGAGAGATTA